GGTGTGGCCACCGAGCCTCGTCCCACATTTCCTCATGGTGTTTAGAACTCCATCGTCTTGTCTTCTAATGGGTATGTGCCATTACATAACTCTTTCCCAGAGGATAAACATTTAGCCTGTTTCCGAGATTTCCTATTAAAACATTTTGATGAATATCTTAGTATATAAATCTATTCCATGTGACTATTTATTTCCCTAGGACAGTTATTTCCCTAGGACAGATTTCTAGAAGTGAAATTCTGAACCTGAGAAGTAATATTTTTAAGGCTCTCCATGTATACTGCCCCTAATTGCTTCCTGTGAATCTGTCCAAACCTACTCCTGCTTGCCTTATATGGGAACCTGCCTCCGAAAACTGCTGTCTTCATAGGAGGGAAGCAACCTGAGGGCGAGTAGATCCGAGGGGCACAGAGGGGGAAAGTTGTGGCCCTGGAGGGGAAAACCCATCAAAATCCCCTTCCACAGCAGAAACCCAGGAGAGTGGGTGTAGCCCACCAGATCCCAGGGCCCCAGCTCTGCCTGGCTCATGAGAGGCATTCAAGAAATAGTTGTCTGCATGGATAAAAGAATCTATGGACATATTTCTGAGTTCTTATCGTGGGTCCAAAACAAGAGAGAGAGAAGTTGGGGCAGGGGTCAAGCCCGAATTCACCCTGTTCATGATCAAGTTTCCTGGGCTGAGAACCTGCAGACCTCCTCCCCGACCAGGAAGGTCCCAACCCAGCTCAGCTCTCTGATCCAGCAGCTGAGAAGACACAGGAGGGACAGACCTGGTGTGTCTCAGGTGCCACTTCCCCGCACTGCCCAGGAAACAACAGCAACAGTTACTGAAGGAAACGGCCGGGCCTCTGGCTGACCAGGGGCCTGGACTAGAGGGGAGGTGAGTGCCCGTCACAGTGGTTCAATGTGGACACTGTCACTCTACTGGGATGACTTCACATCAGCAACTCCTGGCTGTCATCGGGACTCCGGGTGGCAGGAGAAGCTCTACTAAGCTGGCTTGGGGTGGCCACAGGGACATGTGGAATGCTTGATTCCCAGGAGCCGCATGGCCGGGGAGGGTGGGCATGACATCGCTGTCACCCCTGGGGAGAAGCTGGCTCTGTGAAGTCACAGGTTCCCAGGCCTTGGTACTGAGGCTTTGGTGCTGTTTTGGGTCTTGTTTGCCTCAAAGGGCAAGTGGCGGATGAGCAGGTTTGGAGTGAAGGCCAGGACGCAGGGACAGGGACGCCGCCAGCCAGTGCTCCCCAGTGTTTGGGGGATGTTAAGCATGCCCCACTCCCCATGATCTCTGCTCCTGACCATGGACTGAGCAAAACTGAGCCTTCAGAATGACAGGTGACTTCACACTCACGTGGCTCTGCACGCATATTTGAAGTGGGCTTTGGAGATTGCAGACTTTGAACACCTGCTGGGGCAGTGAGGCGGCTGCATCCTGGCCTCGCCAGCTGGAACTGGGGGCCGCCGCCTCCTCTGCAGATTTGCTGGAGCCTGTCTTAGGCCTGTGAGGCAGGATTATGGTTGGATTCCAGGAGAGACAGAGCTCAGTGGTGAAATGCAAAATGAAGGGCTTGTGAAATGCACTAAGAATGGACTTAAGGATCTTTTCTTTAAAATCAAACACTCAGTGAGTGGGGCTGGTGGCTCATACCTATAATCCCAGCAACCCAGGAAGCTAAGGCAGAAGGATTACAAGTTCAAGGCCAGCCTCAGGAATTTAGTGATACCACCTCAAAATAAAAGTTAAAAAGGGCTGGGGCTACAGCTCAGTGATAGAGTGCCTGCCTAGAATGTGTAAGCTCCTGGGTTCAATCCCAGTACTGCCAAAATAATAATAATAATAATAATAATAATAATAATAATAATAATAATAAATCGAGTACTTACAAAGCACTTATGACATGCAAAGCTCTATTCACCAGTTTTGAATCACAACTCTGTGAGGCAGCTATTGCCACTGGTCCAGTCCTACAGATGAGGAAACTCAGGCACAGAGAGCTTGAGTGACTTGCCCAAGTTCAAGTTCACAGTTAGGACCCAGCAGAGCCGGGGCTTGAACCCAGGCCGCCTGGCTCTAGAGTGGGTGCTTGACACCTCACTGCCACATCAATAAAACTGCAGGATAAATGTTTTTTTTTTTTTCAGGATAAATGTTTTTAAGGCACATAACTCTCGCAGAGCTAAGAGTTGAGTCTGTTTCCCACTGGTCTGCATCATTCACAAAAGGTGCTGTCAGTAAGGCGGGCAGGTCGAGGTCCTGAGTGTGAACTCAGCATGATGAGCACACGAGGTGAGCAAGCCCTGAGTAAGAGAGGCTTGGATCACCATCTACAGGAGGCACCCAGAGCCACACAGAGCCTGAGGGCTGGCTGGCGCCCGCATGGCCCAGTGCCTACAAGTAAACCAGGGACAGCCAGCCTTCCAGGCTACCCCATCCTGCCTCTGACACAGGAGTAAACCCTGGGCCCGCTGGGGCAACCCACTGTGGAGGGCCCACTGTTGCCTGCTGTGGCCACATGGCCAGGGCTCCCTGCTCAGGAGCTGCTGGGTGAGGAGGCTCCATCGCTCTGCCTTCTGTGAACTCCTTTGGCATCATGCTTGATCTGAGTCCAATTCAGGATCTGAAGCAAGTTTAGTTAATTCTGTCCTTCATTTTGGCTCCTGTGGCCTTTCCTGAAGGTTCTTCCTGCCCCAGCCTGGAGGACTTGCTAGAGGGCATCCCAATGTCAGCCCCATCTTTAGACCATGATCCCATCCCATTCTCAGTGAGAAACCCTGAGTCACAACAGAAGAGACCCAAGGCTGGAGAGGGGAGACTTCAGGTGGCACCTGTTCTAGATGCCCTCTCCTTCAGAGAGTCTCTGGGTGTCAAAATGTAGAAACAAAACAACATAAAAGTTTTAGTGAACCCAGGGGGGCTGTAACAGAGTGTGTGTGTGTGTTTGTTTCTGTGTGTGTGTGTGTGTGTGTGTGTGTGTGTGTCTTTCTCTGATAGCCTCAGCTTCTCAAGGACGGGAACTAAGTGGGGTCCCAAGTTGCCCAGGGCCTGGCACACGGGAGGTATTTCAATGGACACACGGGACATCTTCAAACTTTAAGGCTTAACTTGCCTAGACACTGGGTATTTTGATAGAATATAAAAGAAGACAACTAATAAGCATCAGACTAAAGGAACCCTGAGAGGGCAAACTAGAAGGCCTTGGTGATGAGCCGCACAGTCAGCCAGGCACAGAGCCAGAGAGGGGCCCCGGGAACCAGGCAGTCAGACCCAGCCGCTGAGGGCCCTGGGCTCTGGAGCTCTGGACCTTGCTAAGGGGAATCTTCTAGCGCCCTGCTCCTCACTTCTGGCAGGATGGTGCTGAATACACCAAGGTCTCCTCCCTTTCCTCAGAATCTCAAATCCTCACCTTAGAGCTGGGTGTGGTGGTGCACACCTATAATCCCAGCTACTCTAGAGGGTGAGACAGGAGGATTGCAAGCTTGAGACCAGCCTCAGCAATTTAACCAGATTCTATGTCAAAATTTTAAAAAATTGGGCTGGGGATGTGGCTCAAGCGGTAGCGCGCTCGCCTGGCATGCGTGCGGCCCGGGTTTGATCCTCAGCACCACATACAAACAAAGATGTTGTGTCCGCCGAAAACTAGAATGTAAATAAAATATTAAAAAAAAAAAAACCTCAGGAATTTCTTCCTATAGTTAGTCTAGCTTGAATTCTCTCCAGATAGATCATAAACCAAACAGTCCGTGAGCATATAACAGAGTTCTGAAGCTCTGGAATTAGTCACCCACACTTGGCAATAGGAGTATTTAATTGAAATACAATTTCTGATTTATCCTGAGGAGTCAGGATGATCTGCTACACTGGTTCTCATTTCAATTAGATGCCATCCTTAGCTGGGGGCTTCACCAGCACCACACCAGAGGGGACATTGGGTGACATGATGCTCCAAGGGGCTTTTTGCACCTTGTCCTTTGGGGTAACTGGTGGTTAGTTGTCACCTGTTGAGCTATACAATCTGTGGCCCTCTTTGCTTTCTCTCCAGGCCAGCTGTGCTTCCTCCAGAGCAGGCCATTGACCACAGGAGGCGGGGTGCTGGGGTCCTGGCTCAGGGCATCCACGTGTGGAGGCTAAGCAGCCTCTGTGCCCTGACCTGGGCATCTTCTGAAAGGTGTGCTCATCATGTGTCCAATAAATGTGCAAAGATGCATATCACTGGCCCATGCTGGCCTTCTGAGCTCACTAGCAATGTCATCATTATTCCATGTCCACAGCATGGTGGGTGCTGAGCTGGGTTCACCTCACTGGTCAGCTGCCATACAGCCCTTCAGCCTGCTACTACTTTCCCCGGGCCCAACAGCTGGACCCTGCAGAGGGGCTCTGCTGTCTTGGGGACTTTAGATGTTTCTTTTGTGGATTGGGGGTGATGGGGGTGGGGTGGGGTGCGGGTGGGATTCCCAGGCACTGGAAGGCATCTGGAAGGGAGGCGGCCCACACAGCCACCCCATTCCCTACAAAGTGCTCAGGACTGTGGCTGAGGGGCTTGCTCACTTGCTGTGCCTACCCATGCTTTACACATCTCTGTCATTCCTTACTATAGCCCTGAAAGAGAGGTGCTCTTATTCTCATTTTCAGATGAGGAACCAGGCTCAGGGAGGTAAAACTACTTACCCAGGGTCACACAGCTAATGGGGGCAGGCAAGATTCAATCCCAGTTAGTGCTCCAAGCCCTGGGCCCTTCCCACCGTATCTCACCTGCTTTCCAGGGTGGCCCACTCCATCTTGTGTTCATTTCTTGAGCAGGATAGCAATACAAATGATTCAAGCAACAGTCGGGGAAAGTGGTTGGAGTGGCTAAGAAATGGGCCAGTCGTGTTCAGGGAGAGATGAAGAGTGAGGAGCCCCTAGCAGCTTTTATGCTAATAGAGAGACAGGCTGACTTTGGAAAGAAAAAGGAAAGAGAGGAAGAGAAGAAGTGGCCAAAGTGGATTTAAAAAATGACCTTTTCCACCCGTCCATCCCGGGATCTCCTGGCGGGGTCGCAGGGCTCCCGGTGTGGGCCGGCCAGCGGGAGGTGGGCTGCTTTCCCACGCTGCGTTCCATCTTGGGAGCTGCTCCACCTCCCTGGGCAAGAAAACCTCATTAACCTAATTGATATTTTTCAGCAGCAAACGCTGCTCTGGTTATTTAAGCCGAGGGCCTGGTCATGGAGGGAGGCCGTTCACCTAGGATGTCAACCCACCCGCTGCCGAAATCCCGGGTCACGGGAAGGATCTGCGCCCATTTTTAGCAGAACAAAGACAACTCAGCCTGTCTGCTTTAGGGAAGGGACATCACCACGGCTCTGTTCTTTGAGAGACGGACTTTTGGTTTTGGTTTGATTTCTTTTTCTCCTGAGGCCATGTCCTGGCCACCAGCCTGAGACAACTCTAGCTCCTGCCTGGCACATACCCGGGGTGACCACTCAGCCTCAGTATCTGTCAGTCAGCACAGGCTGGTGCAACCCTCCCAGGCAGAGCTCAGCCTCTGTGTCAAGCGACATGATTTGTCCAAGGGAGGAGAAAGCAGAAGAGTTCTTCACACTGTGGAGGAGTGGGGAATGTTCTGGAAAGCCACTGCTGAGGAGCGATCTGCAAATCAGATCAGCAGTTCCTGGGTCTGGCCTCCATCACTTGAGAGGATAAGCCTTCGTTTCATGGGATCTCAAACACGGGCTTCCTTGCTCTCACCAGCCTGGCGGGCTTGAGGGTCCCTCTCTGGGTGGCCCAGCCACCAGAAAGAGGTGACGCAGGGCACGGGAGGTGGTCTACTTGAGGAGGGAGGCAAGAGACCTCTGCTGGCCCAGCTTTGCCATGAACTTGCTGTTAGCTTGGGGCTCAGGTCCCCGTCTTCTCAAGCGGCTCTGGCGCCTGTTAAAGTGTAGACTCATGTTCCTTCACGCCCTGTGATGTTGGCACCTCTCTGGGTTTTTCTCAACATAACCTCCGACAGCAGAGGAGGTGTGGGGAGAAAGGAGGTCCCGCAGGGAGGCAGAAAGGAAGCGGGTGACTCCGTGGAAGGAAGTCGCACACCTGGGAACTGCTCCCAACACCTTGATCATCCTCTCTGGGCCGTCCTTTCCCTCCCTCCAGTGCCCTGGTCAGGTGGTTCACGAGGACCACTGGGGAGCTGGGCTGCTGTCAGGAAGGCAGAAGAGGAGGTTCAGGCAGGACGAGGGGCTCTGGGGAGTTCAGAGCCCTGCAGGCGAAGCTGGAGATGCTCAGGGTGCGGTCAGGTGACACCACACTCCTGCCTCCCTGGAGAGCATCCACGCCCCGCGCAGTAATTAAAACCCTCTGAGAACTGGCCGGGACACCCTAAGGCCCCATGTCTGGTTGCTCCTCTGGGTGTGGAGATTGTCCCTGAAGAGCACGATCTTGGGGCTGCGCTCTCAGTCCTTCGAGGAAGGTGGCAGGTGAGTGGGACGCCGTGGATTCTGGAGGAACCCTAGCCTGGTGCAGTGTCGAGGAGCCTCGAGAGGACTGTGGGGCAGGGTGTAGAAGTGGCACCCGGGGACAAACTGCAGTGGCCTGGCTCTGGATGGCTGTGTCCATTTCCTCCTCTACCAAATGGGAAGTGCCACCCAACCCAGAGTGATGAGGAGGATGTGATGAGGTCATTGGTGTGAAAACACTAGGAGAAAAAATAGCCTCGAGGTTGTTTTGGATATAAGGTTCAGCATTAAAATGGTCAAGTGACCCACCAGCCAGCCTGCCTTAGGGGACTGGCCCATGGGGCTCTCACTCAGACGCAGGGACCAGGGTGGCTCCTGGGCTAGTTTGGGTCATCTACCATAAGGATTAGACATTAAAGCACAGCAGCCCATCTCCCCCTACCTGCCTACCCCAGCCACCTCTGCCTCCGAGAGAGCTCTCTAGAAGATTTCTCTGTGTTCTGCTACGTGTTTTGTGCAACACACACACACACACACACACACACACACACTCACGTGTTGTGTGCTCCACTTCCGGTAAGTTCTATTCCTACAGTTCATCTGGAAGTGTCCCCTGTCCGAGGCAGTGAAGTGCCAGGCTAGCCCACAGTTCCTGGGGTGGCTGAGCTTGCGTCTCCCTGGGTTGCTCAAGAGGGTTCAGCCAGGTCGAGCTTCTTACCCAGGAAGGTGACACATGTCACCACCTTTTAAAAGAAAATTCTTCCAGATATCTTCACCCTTTTGAAGTGTGCTGGCCCATGAGCTTATTTGTCTTTTTTTTTTTTTTAAAGTAATATGTACACATGGAAAAAAGAATCAATAGCACGAAAGACTGTGGCGGGAAGACGGCAGCTCCTTCCTCCCTGCCTCCCTCTCCGGAGGCTGCTGGGGGAACAAGTCTTTCCCTGCAGAGCCGGGCTCCACGCCGCCCGGCCCCCTCGCATGTGGCTGCTTTCCTCGAGGTGGTGCCGCCTTGTCCCTCTCTCGCTTTTCTCATGGGCCACACAGCTGAGGGGCATCCCCTGCGTGTGCAGGGTCCCACTGATTTCTTTGGAGTCCACACTTAACACATGCCCCTAGACCACTGTGTGACACACTTCTCCAGGGAGTCCCTAGCAGAAGCCTCTGCTCACATGGCAGGAGGGATGCTGGGGGCGGAGGTGCTGTCACCGGCTCCCCTGGAGTGGCGGTGATCTAGCCCAGGCAGGCTCACTGCCCACACCCTCTGGGTCTTTGCCACCTAATCACAAGCAAAGGCATCTCGCTGCAGTCGGAGCAGCGTCTTTTTATTATGGGGAGATCAAGCAGCTTGTCACGTTCAACATCTGGTTCTGCTTCCCCCTCCCCCTGGAAGGACCTGCTTTTTCTTCTTTCTTTCTTTTTTTTTTTTGACCAGGCCTGGGTATTGGTTGGGGGCAGTTCTGGGGTGTCTAGAACCCCTGCCTGTTCCAGATGACCCACGACCCCTTAGAGCCCTAGCACTGTGGATTCTGTGGACATCATTAAAAGCCCGAGGGTGGGGGTCTAGGTATAAGGGAGCCAATAGTCAATGACAGACCCTCGTCCTCACTGGGACACTGCCCAGCCCCAGCCCCTGCCCACTGATGTCCTGGCACGAGGGGGCAGCCCTCTTCACATGGGAAAATGGGCCATGTCTGTCCTGCCCCTTGTCACATGTACTTCTGAGTGTGATGTGACAGGAAATAATGGAGACATTGTGTTCCCTCTTGAAGGCTCCTCTAGGGGACATGGGGCCTGCACCTCCTCCTGCTTCTGCCCCATCCCCCTCAGGCCTGCCGCCAAGTCCTCTCCTTCAGTTAAAGGGTGGGAAGCTCTGGGGCTGTGGGATTCCAGGCGCAGCTCGGGGCAGGATCGCTTGAGCTGTTCACAGCCCTGTTTCACATGGTTCTCTGAATGGTTAGTGGCTTTACCTTGAGGCCCCAGGTTAATGCCTAACTCACCCTGACACACAGCTTCTGTATTATCATAGGTACTCCAGTGACTGGGGAAGGAGTATGTCACTCACACCTGTCGAAAGTGCCCCCTCTTTTGTCCAGAGGTGGCTAGTGAAGTTCAGACTGAGTGTGTACAAAGCCCACTTCCTGAGAGCTCTCCCAGCTTCCTCACAGATTTCAAAAGCCCCTTTCTTTGGCTCTGGCTATGACAGTTGCCAAGTAAAATACAGGTGGCCCAGTGAAGTCTGAATTCCAGATAAGCAACATCTAACTTTTTTAGTGTCTGCCCCAAGCATTGCGTGGAGCGCACACACTGTGCTGCCGAAACAAAATGCCACAGCTGAGAAGCTCCATGCAGCAGATATCCATTCTCCCACAGTTTAGGAGGCCAGAAGTCTGAAATCAGTATCACTGAAATCAGGGAGTTGGTAGGCCACGTGGCTCCCAGAGGATCTAGGGGCGAATCCCTTGCTGGCCCCTTCCAGCCTCTGGTGACAGCTGGCAACCCTTGGCTTGTGGCCACCTCACTCCCTCTGTCTCCATCACACACTGCCTTTGCCCCTGGACACATGTGATTGCATTTGAGACCAGCCACAATACTCCCTGATCACCCCCTTATCTGGAAATCCTTATTTAATCACACCCACAGAGACCCTTTTGGAAAATAATCCTGGGGAATCCGACCTGATATCTTTGAAGGATATACTGCAGCCTGCTACACTTATGCTAAAAAAAATTACTTGTTTATCTGACATCCAAATTTAACTAGACACTTGTGTTCTTAATTTGCTAATTCTGACAGCCCTGCCTGGGTCCACACCTATTAGGAGACGTCAGTCTTCGGAGATTGGCTTGCTCTGCTTGCCCCACTTCCTGGTAGGTGTGGGGACCCAGAACACTGACCCAGCCACGTTCAGGAAGATCTTCTGTCTTTGAAGTAGGGCTCGAGGTTTATGGTGGCATTTCAGTCTTCAGGAGAATCTGAAAGAATGTGGTTTAACTTTTTCAAAGATTATGGCAGGGGCTGGGGATGTAGCTCAGTGGTAGAGCACTCGCCTACCTTGCTAGAGGCCCTAGGTTCCATCCCCAGAACTGCAAAAAGTCAGAGAGAGATCATCGTAAATGTGTGCGTCTTTCCACTGTCAGCACTCAAAATACCACACGTGGATCTGCACCTATGCACCCTTCAGAAGGTAGAAAGAGGAAAAAATGCCCAAATTATGCATTTGTTTCTCTGATTGTTCTCAAGTCTCTTTACAAAGACCGTCAGCTGGGCTTGGCAACACACATATACCTACAGTTACAGGTACTCTAAAAGCTGAAGAAGGAGGATCACTTGAACCCAGGGCTTTGGCCAGCCTGGGCAACACAGTGAGTCCCTAGTTCAACACCGGGTGAGCGGGGGACTCGCGTTTTAATCCATCTTGAGTTTACTCACTTATCCATTTATTAATTCACTAAGCAATAAGTGGCACTTACTCTGTGCCATGCGCTATGCCAGGCACTGAGGATACAAATAAACCATCACTCAACAGATGGGTGAGTCAGGGAGCCTGTTCCCTAGGGAAGCCCAAAAGAGTAGAATCAGATGATGTCGTGAAAATTAGACACAGATGATGGGCACCAGTAATGGGAGAGTAGAAAGTTTCAACTAACTGGATTTGAAACCAGAGAGAAATTCAGTTAATGTGCCAATT